ACATAAACAGAGTAAATTGAGAGAGGAAACATTTATTATCCAAAGCATTGTAAAATTTTAAGGACACAACAATATAAGACATAAATTAAAGAGAATCTACTCTTTTTGCTAAATTTTCAGACAGTGGTCAAGTAATGGATTGCCTCTTCGTGTAAGTGTGTTCGTACACTCTTAAAAATGAGTACCGACTTCGGTAATTTTACCGAACTTACTGTTCGATAAAAATCAGGCATTTGAATTCAATAGTTTTAAGGCAAGGAAAACTTCACCACAATGGCCAGACTCTATTATTTAAACAAGGCTGACAGTGTTTTGAAATTAAAATTAAGTGAAACAGCGTTTGAAATGAGGGTCAAAGTTCTGCTGTTGAAAGTTCGGTAAACAATTACCGAAATCGGTACTAATTTCTATGTGTGTAAGAATAAGGTTTGAGGTATTCACAAGATATCAAGAACTTAATAATTATTTATTATGAACCTATAATAGAATCTTGATGAATGTGGGCGTCTTAGTGGAATACCTGTATAATGAGAGAGAGAAGGATTAGTATTTTCAATTTAATTCCACTACTTTATTTGCTTATCCTTGACAGATACGCGTATTTCGTCTACAATGTGCAGACTTCTTCAGTGTCTTGTACTAATACTCGACTCAGTAGTCGAGTAGTTAGTAGTCGAGTATTAGTACAAGACACTGAAGAAGTCTGCACATTGTAGACAAAATACGCGTATCTGTCAAGGATAAGCAAATAAAGTAGTGGAATTAAATGGAAAATACTAATCCTTCTCTCTCTCATTATCTATAATAGAATGTTTTGAATCAAGAATGTTACTCAACTAAATGAAGTTTAAATGGGAACTAAGGGTAAATATAGTGAAATTATGTAAAATTCAATTATTTCTATCATGTCATGTCAATCTTAAAACATAAATTAAATTTCGAATACAGACTCAATATGAAAGAAGTCGATGATTTTCTGATCTACAACCTATCACACAACTCTGTATGTTTAATTACTACATAATAAGGACTGTATCGAAAATAAGCTATAATTGTTATTTCAACTACTATAACATATATGTTTAAATCAAACAAAGTTCTACATTCCTTTATTTCACGTTCTTCCAAACTCGTTTGCCTAAAATCTAAATGAGATGTCACCCTTCTTATGCATGATGTTATGGAGGCGATCAGAAACAAACAAAAAACACCGGGTTCTGAGCAGCAGAAATTGTGGGTAGGTGCAGCTTTAAACTGCAAGTATATTTGATTAGCATAATTTCAATTTTAAAATGAGTGTTACTTACTCTTTCGGTGCTTTCACCAGATATAAAGTTTCTGCTCGCTAGGGTTATGTTCTAGCCTCTTTTTATGAACTATAAATTTAACAATTTTAGTTAGTTTTCAATTCTAGGTAGGTTCATTTAATTTCACTCAATTACTCACTTTAATAACAATTTCCTAGACTAGGCAAATAACTATTAATTCAATTGTAGAATAGAAAATTTAGGTTTAAAACTTTTCCTTTAGAATATGAACTTTCCACTCAGGATTATCTCGCCAAACTGACATCCAACGTCTTCTTTTCATCTCCGATGTTCCTTCTCTCTCTCTCTCTTCGTTCGCTCCTGTCATTCTATGACAGCGGACAGTTGAACTCCGTGGTTCGGTTCGGGTGACACTACGCATCGCGACTTGAGGCAGTGATCCCAGCGCCAACATCCTCCCCCCGTAACACTGGCCACCGGTTCCAGTTTTACCACTATCTACTATGCACAGAACAGAAGGAGAAGTGCAAACAAATCGGTGACTCAAAAAGTGTTCGTTTTTCTGCTCAACAAGCGATGTGTTGTGATAGTGTTCCACACGGGCTTTCTATGTGCACTCACACTATCATAGCATGCTGCCTATCTTAACTGCAGGCAGAAGATGCCTTCTACCGCTAGGTGCGCTAGTGTTTGCAAATGACAAGTGGAGCCACTTTCTGATCCAAAGTTCCACTCCTGTGTACTATGTCCAGAATAGCTAGCTTTGCGACAGGCCTACGCAGCAGCGCCTTCGCAGTTCTTATGATAGCCTGACGGATCCTTCCGTCACACCCAGGCACAACCTCCATCACTCGTCCCCTGATCCAGCTGTTCCTCTTGCTGTCCTCCACGATCAGCACTAGGACGCCGGTAGCGACAGCCCTCGCATCGCCGAACCACTTTGTTCTCCTGGTCAGGGTCGGCAGCATCTCTCGAGTCCAGCGCCTCCAAAAACAGTCGAGTTGATGGTTGATCTGGTTCCACGAATTCTTCACTGCTGCCGAGCTATCGGTCGGCTCCGCTACTGGTTGTCGCACCCCGGTCGAGTTACCTAGCAGGAAATGGTTTTGAGTTAGTGCTTCACTTTCTTCCGCGTCCAAGAGCAGGTAAGTGAGTGGACGGCTGTTGACGATCGACTCCGCTTCGATAACCAACGTATTCAGCGATTCGTCGTCGAGCTTCCGGTCACTATTGTTTGCGCCTATCATCGCCTGCTGGACCGAACGCACCATGCGTTCCCACGCTCCACCCATGTGGGGTGACGATGGAGGAATGAAGTACCATTTAGCTGTCGTATTAGTCACGGTCTCGGCAAGACCTTGTTGAAGTTGTCCCATCAGCACCCGCTCAGCGCCGTGGAAGTTTGTTCCGTTGTCCGTGTAGATTTCGGCTGGAGCACCATGACGACCCACGAAGCGACGGATGCTCTTGAAGCAAGCATCCGTTGACAGACTGTACACTACTTCGCAGTGCACTGCTCGAACAGTGAGGCAGGTGAAGAGCGCTACCCAATTAACCATAGGCACGTTATTTTGCCTTTTTGTCTATAAACGGGCCTCATCAGAACTTAAAAACACTGGTAAAGCCGTTGTGCTGCTGTATATAGCTAAAAAGGCGAAATAAGGTGCCAATGGTTACTTGGGTATCCACCTTTTTGCGTTGCTGCGACCGACCTTCACTAACAATGGTCCAAACAAGTCCAGGCCAACGTAGGTGAATGGTCTTGCGTATGAAGCTAAGCGGGCAGGAGGAAGTGAGGCCATTCGTGGAATGTGAGGTACTGCTTTACGAATTTTGCACATTGTGCACACGTTGACGATTCTCCGGACAACTGTTCCAAGGCGGGACACAAGATACCGCTGCCGTATCTCATTCACTACGGTCTCCGAATTCGAACGATCAGACCTGTTACCCGGTGATTTTTAGGCAGGATCGCTGGAAATTTCACTTCGTTGCTTACATTTTCTGCTGCTCAGATTCGCCCATCCACCCGTAGAATCCCGGTGTCGTCGATGAACGGCTTCAACTGATACAGCTCACTGTGCTTGCTCAACCCTTCTGGGTGTGGTCTTGAATGATTCTGGTTGCCATATTCTTCGAGAGCGTGTTTAGCAAAGTGTCACCTGTACCAAGGCGCGACTGCTTTGCACATATTCCGTCGCACATCATCAACCTTCCTGTCATTCAGTTCTCCACCAAAGAAGTTCTACGAGCCATCGATGACCTTGACATCAAAAAAGGATCCGGAACAGACGGTTTACCACCTCTGCTGCTGAAAAACTGTTCCGAAGAACTGGCGAATCCAATTGCTCACTTATTCAATCAATCGCTTCGTGAAAGGACCTTTCCAGCGGCTTGGAAATCTGCTTACGTTGTTCCTATACACAAGTCAGGCAACTGTAACCAGGTGACAAACTATCGCGGAGTATCTATTCTTTGTTGTCTCAGTAAAATATTTGAAAAACTGGTGCACAATGTTTTATACAACGTAGCGTCTCCGATTATCTTCGAAGGTCAGCATGGCTTCATGAAGCATCGCTCTACAACAACGAACCTCATGTGTTACGTCACCACAGTGTCCCGCGAAGTAGAAGAGAGGCGGCAAGTTGACGCGGTGTATGTTGACTTCGCGAAAGCCTTTGATACCGTACCGCACATTCAGCTCATTGAGAAACTGAGGCACATAGGTTTTCCAGATTGGATTACGGAGTGGAACTCGGCTCGTTCCCGCTCTTTCAACATCACGTCTGGTGTACCCCAAGGAAGCGTTTTGGGACCACTATTATTCAACATTTTCATCAATGATCTGTGTTTGCGGCTTTCCTCGTTCAAGCTCTCATTCGCTGATGACCTTAAATTCTATCGTGTCATAGCTTCTCTCTTGGACTGCTTTGCTCTGCAAGAGGATATCAACACTATGATGATATGGTGTAGCGATAACGGCATGCGAGTTAACAACAAGAAATGCAAAATTATTTCCTTCAGTCGCTGCAATAGCCCCATTCTGCATCAATACAGGATGGAAACGGCGGAATTAGAACGAGTTTCGTCCATCTGCGACCTCGGTGTTACCATCGATACGAAACTAAGGTTCAACGAACACATGGGAATTATGACTGCCAAAGCTTTTTCTGTGCTGGGATTCATCCGTCGCCATGCGTCCGAGTTCACCGACATTTACGCGTTAAAAACTCTCTACTGTTCGTTGGTTCGTAGCATTCTGGAGTACGCTGCTCCAGTTTGGGCCCCTTACTATGTAGTTCATGTTCTTACCATTGAACGGGTACAGAAAAGGTTCGTACGTTTTGCATTGAGACAGCTTCCCTGGAACGATCCGTCTAATCTTCCTCCCTATTCTGACCGATGTAAGCTCATAGGATTGGAGCCACTATCTACCAGACGAGTTACGATGCAGCGATTATTTATTTTTGATGTCATCGGAGGATTTATTGATTGTCCTGAACTTCTCGCACAGATCCCACTAAACATTCCTCCCCGACGGTTTCGGAACTCACCTTTATTAGCAGTTCCATACCACAGAACAAACTACGGATACAACAACCCGTTCGATTCGTGCCTTCGCTCGTTCAATGTTGTTTGTGACGAATTTGATTTTAATTTGACCAAAAATGTTTTTAGAAATAGGATTAGAAGCAATCTTTAGTTTATAAGAAAATAGTTCAGTCTGTACGACTAGTCGAAGACGGTGATATATAAAATAAAATAAAATAAAATATTGTTTGAGAGGATTGTTAGTTCTTCCCGGTAAGTCTGCCCTTGTACCATCCGGATCAAGGTCGCTTCTGCCTGTCGTAGTTCCTTCTGAGTGAGGTAGCCTGTATTCTTCGCTTCACCGTAGATCATCCGTTTCAAATTTCCCACGTATCGGTGCACGTAGGCCATTGCTCGATGCATGCGCTCCCATTTGGAGAAGCGATCACAATCTATTACTGCTGGGAGCACGGCAGTTTTGACGTGAACATTACAGACACGTAGTTCTTCCTCGACGACCCCTTGTGACATCTTCTGTTTCGGCCATTCTTTCTCAGGCCGTTGCAGAAACGGTGGTCCTTGAAACCAGACTCCTCCGACGTCCATGGATGGCCCGCTTCCCCATTTGGTTGCGTAATCCGCTGGATTCTGCTTCGACAGTACCCACCTCCACTCGATCACATCCGTCTGCTCCAGTATTTCACCAATCCTACAGGCCACGTACTGTTTGTACTTGCGGGGATCCCCTCTCAACCAGGCTAGCACCGTCGATGAGTCTGACCACAAATATCGCTCCGTAGCTTTCACAGTATGGGATTCAAGAATGGACCTCAATAATCGGGTCCCAAGCGTAGCGGCCTGCAACTCCATTCGCGGTATCGATAACGGTTTCAACGGCGCCACCTTCGTTTTCGCCATCACCAAAGCACATCTTGGTGTCCCGTCTGCGTCGACTATTCGAAAATACTCCACTGCTGCATACGCCGCTTCGCTTGCGTCGACGAACACGTGTAATTGCAGCTGACGGTAGCTCTGCTCGGTGGTGTTCGGGAAATAGCATCGGGAAATTTGTATGGTCGATATTCGCTGTAGCAGAACAGTCCAGCTCCGCCAACGTTCCCAATGTTCCTCGCTTATCTCCTGATCCCACTGTGTTCCAGCACGCCAAACATCTTGCAGCAGAATCTTGCCCTGAACCATGATGAAGCTTAACAATCCCAGCGGGTCGAAAAAGCTCATTAGACACCGCAGGACTTGCCTCTTTGTGGGACGGGAGTCGCTGTCCACGATTTGCTGTATGTCGTCCTTCATCTGTGCGCAGAAGCTCAGGGCGTCTTCCTCTGTCAACCACAGCATGCCAAGCACCCTGCCGTATTCCATGGTTTTATCCATAAACATATGCCTGTTGCTAGGGTCAGTGCCTTAGATTATCGTTATTTATTCACGAAAGGAGAAATTATTCTTTTCTCAGTGTGGGATGACTCTTCTTCTGTTGACACACAACATCATTTCTGTCATGTCAATGATAAATGAATTTTGTTTACCTTATTGAATGAATAATCCATTTAATGAATTTCAAAAGCCTACAATCATTGATATTTCTTACTGTCAATGGTTTGAAGTGATAATCAGACAAGCAAAGTTGATATTCATCTCTGGTGGTGAAATTTTATAATTGAGAAAGACGAGTTTGATTCTGCATCCGAAATAATGGAAGAAGCAGGTCCATCATCTAAAAAAGGACAACAACGACGCGATGACAACAAGCGCCCTCTCCAGGAAATTGCATTATCGTTTATTCATCGGGAAGGGAACAAGGGTATCTGTCGTATTGAAGAGAGCAGCGGATGTACCTACGTCCAAATGACTATGGATGTCGGTAATTTTATCCGTCATTTCCGCACAAAGCATACAGATGCTGCGAATAAATGTGGCTTGCTGAAAGAAACTGATGCTAGCGCCAAGAAGCCAAGACTGGTGTCCAAACGATCCATAGCCATTGATACGCCGCTGTACATGGACTCTATTGTCAAATTGTACTACCTACCATCAACTCCCTCTTTGCTTCGTAGAGTGGGAAGGGATGAAACAACTCATGGACCCAATATCTGCTGCACTTGGTGTTACAGTAAACAGAAACAATGTAAAGACGATCACGCACTCCGTCACTGATCAAATTCGTAAGGCTTTAAGTGATGAACTGAAGAACAGGTTGATTTCACTGAAAGTTGATTCAGCATCACGATTCAACCGACACGTTCTCGGCATAAATGTCCAGTATTTTTTGGATAGCAAAATCGTCATTCGGACATTAGGTGAGTGTTAACATAGCGTTGAAACAAAGAGATTAGTGGGATGTTTCATTCAGGTACATTATGGAGCCAATACATACTGCAATGTGGTAGTACAACCGCTATAGTTTTACCATATACCATACGGTTTAATCACTTGGTATATGCTAAAACCATAATAGTTGTAAAATCAAATTGTAGTGAGTAGTTATGTTATAGCCAGCGGCAGCATAATTATTGTTCCATTTTCAATAGAGCATCCTATACACATGGGACAGTTATGTGTTCACTTGTAGATTATACCCATGAGATAAATTTTATGCTTGATTATCCTGAATTAAACTTAAACTAGCTAGCAACTGCTATCATTCTCTTTTGAATGAACTTAATTTAGTTACATGTAATATATTTCATGGTATTTATTTGAAGTACTTTAATATGTAACACCTATAACATTCTTACAATTTCTTGTATTTCCATGTTACCTTTCCAGGCATGATTGAGATAAAAGAACGACAAACGGCAGCTTTTTTGAAAATTAAAATTTTAGAGGTTCTTCAGACATACGGAGTTACTGTTAAGCAAATATTTTCGGTAACATGCGACAATGGAGCAAATATGCTGGCAGCTGTAAAAGGGCTGAAGAAAGAATTTGATTTTCTAGTCTCACAGCAGCTAGAAAATGTAGACCTTCTGGGTGGCACAGAAACCGAGGGCTATACTGAAACCGAAACCGAGACTGCTGAAAACAATCAAGACCAAGAGCTTTCCGATGCACTTTCAACTGAATTCCATCAGGATCAGTTGAACCTTGTAAGATGCTCGGTACACACATTGCAATTAGCTATTCTTGACGTTGTTAACAAAAGTGACGAATCCATCAAGCAAATAACTGGTGTGGCAAAAAAATGCAAAGGAGTCAAATATAAGACACATTTTGACTATCATAGTGCTACTTTCCCACCGGTTTGGGGACAAACCAGATGGGGAGGTATTTACATGATGCTGGATTGCTTTCGCAGACAAAAAGAATTTTTCAATCAACTGGCACTCCAATTTCCTGAGCTCGGTAAGTTTAGGATGTGCTTTAGATAATATGGTTTTTATTTTGCATTGAGCTGCCAAAAATTGCAGATAATTTTACAAATCCTATGAGTTAACTTTACAGTATCCCCCCACTAATCCTACAATGTAATGTCCAGATTATCGAATGTGGACTCTCTTATCTGAATGTTTTACACATACTGAAAATTATAACAAAAAGACGCTGCACACAGCAAAATTCTAAAAATGTACAACATAATATACTGTCCATAAAAGCATAACTGTCCGATATGAATCGGAAATCAAGTAGAGATGGGACAAATACGCTTTTACGGGTAGTGTACGAATATTTGTCATTCAGGGTTGTTAACCGATATCCGTAGATATCGTCTGCGTTAACCACGTTTCCAAATTCTCCATTATCGATTAACAACCCTGGTCTCATACCATCGACAGACACTACTCTTTTAATCCATAATTGTAATCGGCGTACTAGATTAAAAAAAAAAACGTCACTACAATAATGTATGTCATAAATATTAAATAACACAGCCTTGATTTACAGCTCTCACTCCGAAACTCTGGGATTTCGTTGAACATTATGTTCAAGCCTTCGAACCTCTTTACATTTGCACCAAAAAAATGCAAGCAGCTCACGTTTCGTTGCCAGATTTTTATTTATCATGGCTGATGGCAATCAACGAAGTTCAGAAGATGTGTTCGAATCCGTTTGCTCAGCCACTGACTAGATCCTTAACAGACCGCCTTGGCAAGCTAAAGACGTCACAAGCATTTCAAATGTCACTGTACATGGATCCACGTCTGAACTATTTGAATTCAAAATTGTTCAGCAACGATGAGAAGCAATATATACAGGTACGATATTACACGTATCTTGTAACCACGATAAGTGATAAACATCTTTTGAAAATTTTATTCTCATATATTTAGAACTGCATTAAAGACACCTGGAACAGGATCAACCAACTAAAACCGTCTACATGTTCGAGTGAAACAGTAGAAAACGAAGCCAACAGCAGCAGCCAATTTGACGAGTTTCTCACAGAACTTTTTGGTGGAACTCTGTCGAACACGGAAAACTCAAATGACTCTTCGTTTGAGCAACAGTTAAGAGCACTAGATGCTGAACCGCGACAAAATCACTCTTTCGATGTGTTTCAATATTGGTTGATACGACGAAAGACTCATCCAGAACTCTTTGAGGTAGCCATGGTTGTGCTAGCAACGCCATCAAACCAGGTGTCTGTAGAGCGTGCATTTAGCGCACTTGCGTTGGTTCTATCATCTCACAGAGCTACCTTGGGGCAAGGTGCATTGGAGGACATTTTACTAGTAAAACTAAATCGAGACATTTTTGAGAAGGTATCTGCATCATGCGATTGGTCTGGCATTGTAGGGTGTGCTAAATGAGTTCTGAAAGTTTTTTTTGTTAGTACGTTATGGCATCGAATACATGAATACAATAAATATTTGCAACTATAAAACTATACATCTAAATAAATGTTCTTTCATAAAAGTTCAACCAATAAATAAGCACCAACACAACCGATTGTAGAAATTCCCTTATAAACTCTTGTTTATTTGCATCCTGACGACAGTTTACATTACGATCTCCTGCCTTCAACAAAACATTCAATGAAACAAGAACTCCTCGTTTTCTCATTACACTTTTCAGGTTTTCTCAATAGCACAATTTCAATTCACCCACCAATATTAACACTAACTTCAACAACCATCCACGACACTTTTTTTTATCAACCTACTGACGAAATTTAAAAAAAATATTGACGCTCGTATATGTCAGTCTCAGAGCACCTAAATTTACATCAATTTTTCTAAGTGTGTACACAAAGCTAAATTACTGTTATCGTTTTAGGATCTTAAATTGAAGTTTCCACAGCCTCAATTTTAGTTTGACAGCTTTTACTTGATCGATATGACTGTGCACCAAACTGTTTCTTCCTTGAAGCGTCAGCTTAATTTCATTCAAATGTTTGAAGATAACAACCAAGAATCAAAATTCATTGTCCATTTAGCATCTTTAAATTGGTTTTTTCCCTTACAGTTTCTACCCGCTTTACTACCAGTCTCCAGAGAGCCCAAAAATTCAAATTTGAGATAGGGTTAACTATCCCATTGGAATTCTCTTTGGCCTATCGAACGAAAAGAAATGTAAAATCGCGTGCGCCTTTTGTACACTTCAAGTGCGCCTTATGTTTTCGAGATCTAATTTAGCGTTCTTTAACACTTCGTCTTGCAGCTATTGAATAGAAGCATCGTACCAAACGCTTGTTTGACACGTTCATGCCAAAATCATAGATATATTTGGTGTTTTGTGCTCGATAGTCCGGGAATGGGCGATTAGGCCGAAGTAGATTTTCCCCATATGAAATTCTCTCTCACGAGCTCAATCTCTCATCATGCTATGTATTTTGATGACACTCGATTTCTGATTTCCCTCTCACAGACTACAAAATAGAATGCAGAAGCTTGACTAAATGGTTAATTATCTTGATGCAAAATACCTGTGATCCTAAAAGTTTAGAATGATTCGTGTGCCACACAAATCTTCCACGACAGCCGCGGGTTGTAGAATCCTGATATATGCCGTAGGGTGGGTGTACCGTAGTTATGGCTATAAGTTCTTGTTATGGTGTGTCCAAACTAATTGGAACACACCATAATAGGAACGAATAGCCATAACGGGTTCATCTACCCTATATAAATTTATCATATCCCTGATTGCCTTCACATTTACAAAAAAAAAATGACAAATGAAAATTGTCCCATTCGACTTTTGTTTATGTTAACAATACGGCTGTTGCCAAGTCACCACTGGTCAAGCTGAAGCAACTCTTTCCGCACGTGACCAAATTCCAGCTTAAACAAAACACCGATGCACCTTTCCCTGTTTGTGTTTGAACAGTCAACCGAGGAGCATTAATGCACTCGTTGCCATCGGTTTTCAAAAGTTAAACTTAAATATCACACTGCAGTCAGCTCGGAAGGATCAAATTTCATCTC